GGCAAAAAAACACCTTACTATACATGGTCGTTTTTTTCGGCGAAAAACGCCTTACTATACATGGTCGTTTTTATCGGCAAAAAAACACCTTACTATACATGGTCGTTTTTTTCGGCGAAAAACGCCTTACTATACATGGTCGTTTTTATCGGCAAAAAAACACCTTACTATACATGGTCGTTTTTTTCGGCGAAAAACGCCTTACTATACATGGTCGTTTTTATCGGCAAAAAAACACCTTACTATACATGGTCGTTTTTTTCGGCGAAAAACGCCTTACTATACATGGTCGTTTTTATCGGCAAAAAAACACCTTACTATACATGGTCGTTTTTTTCGGCGAAAAACGCCTTACTATACATGGTCGTTTTTATCGGCAAAAAAACACCTTACTATACATGGTCGTTTTTTTCGGCGAAAAACGCCTTACTATACATGGTCGTTTTTATCGGCAAAAAAACACCTTACTATACATGGTCGTTTTTTTCGGCGAAAAACGCCTTACTATACATGGTCGTTTTTATCGGCAAAAAAACACCTTACTATACATGGTCGTTTTTTTCGGCGAAAAACGCCTTACTATACATGGTCGTTTTTATCGGCAAAAAAACACCTTACTATACATGGTCGTTTTTTTCGGCGAAAAACGCCTTACTATACATGGTCGTTTTTATCGGCAAAAAAACACCTTACTATACATGGTCGTTTTTTTCGGCGAAAAACGCCTTACTATACATGGTCGTTTTTATCGGCAAAAAAACACCTTACTATACATGGTCGTTTTTTTCGGCGAAAAACGCCTTACTATACATGGTCGTTTTTATCGGCAAAAAAACACCTTACTATACATGGTCGTTTTTTTCGGCGAAAAACGCCTTACTATACATGGTCGTTTTTATCGGCAAAAAAACACCTTACTATACATGGTCGTTTTTTTCGGCGAAAAACGCCTTACTATACATGGTCGTTTTTATCGGCAAAAAAACACCTTACTATACATGGTCGTTTTTTTCGGCGAAAAACGCCTTACTATACATGGTCGTTTTTATCGGCAAAAAAACACCTTACTATACATGGTCGTTTTTTTCGGCGAAAAACGCCTTACTATACATGGTCGTTTTTATCGGCAAAAAAACACCTTACTATACATGGTCGTTTTTTTCGGCGAAAAACGCCTTACTATACATGGTCGTTTTTATCGGCAAAAAAACACCTTACTATACATGGTCGTTTTTTTCGGCGAAAAACGCCTTACTATACATGGTCGTTTTTATCGGCAAAAAAACACCTTACTATACATGGTCGTTTTTTTCGGCGAAAAACGCCTTACTATACATGGTCGTTTTTATCGGCAAAAAAACACCTTACTATACATGGTCGTTTTTTTCGGCGAAAAACGCCTTACTATACATGGTCGTTTTTATCGGCAAAAAAACACCTTACTATACATGGTCGTTTTTTTCGGCGAAAAACGCCTTACTATACATGGTCGTTTTTATCGGCAAAAAAACACCTTACTATACATGGTCGTTTTTTTCGGCGAAAAACGCCTTACTATACATGGTCGTTTTTTTCGGCTAAAAACGGCCTACTATACATGGTCGTTTTTTTCGGTTAAAAATGGCTTACCATACATGGTCGTTTTTATCGGCTAGAAACGCCTTACTATACATGGTCGTTTTTTCTGGCAAAAAACGCCTTACTATACATGGTCGTTTTTTTCGGCTAAAAACGGCCTAATCTACATGGTCGTTTTTTTCGGCTAAAAA